TCCATGGGGCGTACCTCTCAGGGCTGGCCGAAAGGAGAAAACAACCCCTATACAAAAATACATATTTCGATAAAAAAAATAGCTAAAAATATTTTCCAAAATGTATGTATTTGCTTGAATCTGTACGGAGAAAACCTGTAAGGGATACCAGAAGGGAGAAAACTACCCTTAAACAACCCCTATCGAAAAATAAATGTTGCGATAAAACCTTCCTATAAATATTTTTCAAAATGTATTTATTCGATTGTATCTCTTAAGGGGCGTACCTCTAAGAAGTGGCAGAAGGGAGAAAACTACCCTTAAACAACTTTCAACAGCCCCTATATAAAAATAATGATGAAAAATAGCTGAAACTATTTTATAAAATGTATTTGTCTGCTAGATTGTCTATAAAGGGCACCAATAGAGGGTGGCTGAAGAAAGAAAGAAGAAAGGGATGAATAAAAGAAGAAAAATTAAAATTATATTTGCTATTTACAGCTTTTTTTATTCTAAAAATGGATTTATTTCTCGTTGTTGAAATTGCTAACCAGTGCGCATCGTCAGAATCAGTAGTTTTTTTAAATCTATTTCAATGTTTGAACAGAATTCGGGATCAGCCTCACATTCGCACATTTCCGTACAACCCATTTTTTTGGGTTATACATTTTAACCTTTGAGTACAATTATTTTTTTTAACAAGAACATTTTAAAACATTTAGTATTTCTTCGGGTGTGCAAGGGAGAGTATACATAATGGGTTCAAATTTTTAGTTTTCTAATTTCCAACCGTATTCCGTTGGTGGCGGTAAATTCGGCTGAGCATTGAGTAATTAAATATTCACTCAACGGGCTGAGTCTGTGTATCCCGATTCCATTCAATACATTGGTAGTGATATCTTTGTATTGCCGATTTTAACGCTGCTTGAGTTGGAAGCATATTATGATCAGTGGAAACTTGACTTTGTGCAAACAACCACCATCTTAGTTCTGCTGGACTTTTAAAATATTTTTTTGATGCTGAATATAAAGAACAGACAAAAGCCTCGATCTGCTCAAAATCAGAGTCACTTAGTGTTTCGTTTTTACCTAAAGAATCCAATACCTGAAGTGTAGATGAAGTTTCTTCTAACTTTTTCCAAAAACTAATTTTAGCTTTGCCCTTAAAACCCCCTGTTACATCCGATCCTGAAAGGGCATGAAGACCTGGAAGTGCTTCAGCTTTGAGTGGACCAAGAGCCTCCTAAATTGGTTGTAAAGGCATTTCACGACTGCTAGAACCAATGCATATAAACATGGTATTTTTAAGTAGGTAATAATAGAGCTCGCCTTACAGCCAATAACAAAACATCTGTATCTGCCGAATGAATTCTTACTGTCTTTGCTCCCCTTTCAGATGCATCTAAAAAATGAAGAATCATTCTGGTATCGACTTCTTCGTGTGAACTCTTTAAGTGGTTCATATCGCCTCATATCACAGTACAAAGTACCGTATTTTTATAAGAACAAACGATCTTTTTATACACCTATTTCCTAAAGCAATGAGTGAAGGGGTGAGACAAAAGCTTTTTAATGGTTGTATTTTATATCGGTTTTTCGTCAACATGGTAACGTATAGGGTCTGTACCATTTTGCCTTCTGGTTCTTGCCGATGACTTAAGTGAGCCTATAACATAGGTAATTATCAAAAATAACGTGTATTTCTGAATATGAAGCATATTTTTTTAACAGTTTATTTGAAAACTACTCAGATAGATCAGAAAGGTAGATGCAATCTTTTAGCAGGAGTATTTGTACTTCCGCCATACCATCAATAACTGCAATGCTGAAACCACTATTTACAAAAGGCGAAGTTAACCGATTGTCCCAGAAAATGCCCACCTATTTTTGAACGCACTACGGGTAATTTAGGGTAGGTAATTTATATTTTTTACATATTAAACCTATTAGATGTTTATATTATTATGGATCTACAAACAATTTTCTAATCCTTAGGTAAAGGGAGTTGCAACCCCTATCTCATACTTCTTAATAGTAAGTACTATGTTAATTATAGAACATAAACAAAATTAACATTAATATCAATTCACGAAAAATTATATTTAAGTAAAATTATACCTACACTATTAAAAATTACAACCCTTCAGGTAGTGATGAGTCTTCCTAATATTAATTTTTTAGTAAAACACTGTATTTTTTATTATCTTAAGTAAGCATTAGTCAATTTAACCCAAAAATGCAATTATTTAATAATATATTTAAAAGAACGGCATAAGGGTAGTTTTCACCCCTCTGCGACCTTTGCAAGATGCGCCCCATAGAAATTCGTATTCTACACATTTTTCCGAGTATTTTGATGTATCGCATAATATTGCTTCACTTATTTGCACACGGGACCTAATTTTTGTACAATTCAACACTGACTACGAGTTACAATTGAAAAACGTTTGAAACCTAGAATGTAATTGACGCGAAGAGAGAAAAAGTTGATCATTTTTGTAAAATAAATGAAATAAAGCTAACCCGTGCATTCTGACAAAGAAAAGTATTGTTAGTCTGACAATGTAGAAAAGGGATTAATAAACTAATATGAATAATATTAGTAGAGGTCTATACCATTGCTTTAAAAATCGCAGTGAGGAATAATATTTGTTTAAAATATTAAAAGGAACCACAAATGTTTTATTGTTTCTATAAAGCAATCGATTTCTGGTTTAACCACCCATCATCAGGCTATACTAAAAAATATCACATGAATTTGAAGTTGAACACAGAATTAAAATTATTACCGTCATTTAAAACATTTAAAACATTTGTGGTTCCTTTTAATATTTTAAAGAATCTCAACGAACCCAAAAAATGGAGAACTTCATTACCTACATATAGAATAATATTTGATTTCTAACCTGTATGATAATAGTTTCTGGACGAACCTCATATGAATATGAAAAGTAGGTGAATGGAATGGATATATATAAACTAAACGTTATTTATATAACTTATTGATACTTTAAGCCTTCTTTCCTATCGCCACTATACTTCTGTAAGCACAATAGTAGACAGGATTAATAATTCATATAACTAAAGACAAGTATAAATATCATTAAGTAGGTATAGCTTATAAATAGAATGACTTAAAATCTTTTAGTCTTAAATAAATGTCGCACGGCTTTTTTCCTTTGTCTTTGTGGCTAATACGTAGGAGGGAATAGAAGTAAGTAATCTTTGACTTTCTTGATTTTCAAAAGGTATTGCTTGCATCTTTGATTATAAAATATAGGTAGTCTATATTCAAAGGCTCGTATCATTGAATAATAATTTTTTATTCAATGCTCGCATGTAGTTGAAAATTGCAAATGAAATTCCTTGAGATAAAGTGAAAGTGCGTCGGACTAAAAAATTCAAAAATGGACATGACCCCCTTCCGAACATCCAAACTTTATCATATTTTAGATGAAAGCGAGTAATGTAAAACTCGGGGTAGGTCTACTCCGAAACTGGAAGTGGAGGATTTAATTTTTTTAAATTTTTTGTTTTTCCGATATACTTACAAAGCACCTTCGTGCCATACGTTTTGTTAGAGATGTAATTTAAATATTGCGTAGTAGTACTGCAACACAATCGTTGTATTTGCAATTATCCTTTTAAAATTTTAAAAAAGGTAACTTAGAGTGTATTTCCCAAGAACTGATTAGTATTTCGCGAAATGTGTGTAACGGACTATTTAATTATTTATGTGTACAAAGGAAAATAAGTTATGGCGTAAATATTCTTATAATAGGCCAGTATTTACCAGACTTCAAGCTGAAGTAAACACCGTGCAAAGCGAATATAGAAGAGCGGTAGAGCGGTGTGACGCTAGAGTGGTCAGTGGATTTGACCCATTTTCAATTGGTTTGTTACATGGGGCATATACCTATAGGACAACTGTGCAAAGTGTTGTGTATGTAGACGTAGACCTTACTGATTTATCGTATGTAGATTGCACCAACGGATAAATAAATGTAAATGTTTGCCTATACATTGTGTCCCAGATAAGGATGTCTATCATGAGGATCTCGGAAACCATAGAAAATACGACGATGGTCAAATTAGCGAAAATTTGCGCAATAGAGTTATTATCATGCTGTAAAGAAAACCTGAAAATTCCGATTCCTTCCGAATATTAGACTCTTTCTCTGATGTTATTTTACCACTTTTCGAGCTCTACAAGACACTCTTGAGAGATTTTCAATACAACGTTTCATTTCGGAGAAATCATCATAAATGATTTTGTTTTATATGGTCCGTAAAAAAAGAGCATATTGTATTAAATAGCATTATTTTTTTAATAATACAACGCTGCACGGCACACAAAAAAAACAAAGTTGGAAACTGTTGGTTTCAACAGGATGGTGCAACTACACACAACGCCCTAATCATATCTATCTATCAGGGTAATTTTTCGGAAAGTTAAAAACATGCTCGATAGGTAACGGGCGATCAAAAATGAGTTGCTGTCGAGTCGCCTTTGGAAGTTTGGAAGTTAAATACGAATTCTCATGCAAACAAAAATTCCAAAGGTGACTCGACAGCAACTCATATTTGATCGCATTCTACCTATTGTCGCATGTTAAGCGCGTTGTACGTGTTGGAACAAGAATCAGTGCATTATTTAATAATCGTAATAATAAACATTATTATTTAATTTCGCTATTTCTTACTTGATAAACAACTAATAATACCTACACTCAGCATGCCTTCATATTACCATTACTTATCTTATAACCAATCTGGTACCGTCGCATATTGATTGCATTAGTATTTTTAATACGAAGCTACAAAGCAATACCTTTTGAACGTTTTTTAACGTTTCTGTTGTTGCATGCTTTACCTACCTGGTACACAGATTGGCAATGCTTAAAATTCTGATTAGATATCTACTAGTAAAACAAACAATCATCCCACACAAACGCAAAATATTGTGTTAGAATATAATCAAGATTATGTTTTGCTATCCTTATAAGTTATCAATTAAATAGGGTGCGACAAAGCTCACGAAGGACGACATCGAACGAGTTTTTGCTTTATATGACAGAGTATGTATGCGTAACAATAGTAAAATATCACGTACATAATATAATTTGAAACAGGATAATAATGGTACAATCGAAAACGAAGAACTACGGGGATTTCTTAAAGATCTTTTGGAATTAGTTAAAAAGGTGAGTACCTCTCCAATAGTAGGTAGTTTAGTTGCTTTAAATAACATACTCGTAGGATTATGATGCTCAAGATTTGTTAGATTTTGAAGAAACTATTTTAAGAGGGGTAGATTATAATCAAGACGGTAAAATTAACAAAAAGGAATTAACAATGATCCTTTTGGCAATTGCGAGGCACAATCAAGAAGAAGAATCGTCCGCATAAACAAACCACTGACCTGACTTATAGATATGATTTACAACGCGTATTAAAAGTTGCCAATTTCCTAAAGTAAAACGTTGTAGCACAATATATATTTAACGAAAAATGTTTAGAATAGTGGATAGGTAATGAAGAGTAGATAATTACTGTGACACCAAATTCTCACTAATGTGATTGTTGCTGACGATGTTTTCCTACCTCTAGAAGAAATTAAAAGAAATCATCTCCGTTTTCTGTAGGTACTCTACATTCCTATAAAATTGTTGATGTTCCTAAAATGTTTCCAACTTTACATCTTTACAATCATACTTAAAAAGCGTGATTTTCAAAGAATGTAACATTCCGGCACTGCGTAGGTATTCTCATTTACAATTAGAATAACCAAAAAATTCAATCTTAAAGAATTCGTCCATTTTTGCATATCTTGTCCTTAAACTTTAGCTATTTTAATGTAAATATTAAGATATGTGTAGACTAATATTTTGTGAGATAATTTTTGTAACGCTTTAGCATTAATTAGTTTTTTTACATTGTACTGATATTCTTGAGTTTTGGAAACTAATGACGTTTCTCAGCAAGACTTTCAAACTATCTACTACAAGTGAATAAATGTGTGCAAGGAGTAAGAACCAAATAGTTGAATGTAGTTAGGTAGAGATAACTACTTATCACACGGAATGTGTTAAATAAAATTTGCATTAATAAAAATTTTTAGCACATTTTTAAAGAGAAAAATTGCGCTTAGGTATTTACTGAAGTCCTTCCGTTCTCTGTACGAAGTGTTGCGCATTCATCACAGAAACATTGTACAGGGCGTAAATCGAACAGTGGAACATAGGCGTTTAACATGGGAAATTACTATTTCTTTGCGCAAACGTTTTCTAATTATTTTACGCAAAAATACTTCAAATAAAAGTTATAGAGATATAAATTCTGCATCTAAATCATGTGAAACGATTATTCTACCTCTTCTTGTACGCGAAAAAATTAATTATAAAGATTCTGTTTTCACGAGTTTTTAGTCTAAGTAGCCATGATAATAATATATTTAGCCCTGTTTGTGTGCCATGCACTTACATTGGTCAACATTAGAAGTAAAAAATACATATAAAAGTAACTACACAGTGTATATAAACAATAAACAATATCACAGATTAAATCTAATCTATGCAATGCATCCTTTTGATGCTGCTGAAAATTCATCAAACGAATAAAACGCATTTTCCAGTAAAACAGTCTTGATCACAGATTTGAACTTTGAGGTGCATAATTCCCTGGTCGCAGTGGGAAGGCTGTTAAAGAAATGGACTATGATAAAAGAAAAACATAGGTAGTCCATGGTTACCTAGACTAAAAACTCGTGAAAACAGAATAATTAATTTTTTCGTGTACAAGAAGAGGTAGAATGATCGTTTCACATGAGTTAGATGCAGAATTTATATCTCTATAACTTTTATTTGAAGTATTTTTGCATAAAATAATTAGGAAACGTTTGCGCAAAGAAACAGTAATTTCCCATGTTATGTTAAACGCCTATGTTCCACTTTTCGATTTAGACCCTGTATACATACAAAAGAGGGACAAGTTCTATGTGGTACCATTGACTAGTGGTACATGCTAACTAAAACTAGATGTATGCCATGCTTACTTATTTTTTTACGCGTTACACATACATGCAACCAATATGACTGTATTTAAAATGAGAAGCAGAATCAGAAAGTGCAATAAAAAGTACGATAGGAAGTTGGCACCAACTTTCAGATCCGTCCGAATTACGGTATCACAAGCGCATTCTGATGCTTGACCCCCTTTGCTGAACCGTAAATTGGTTGACCACAAATACAGAATCAAAATATACAAGACGAAGAGAGACAAATGTAAACTAAATACCGCAATTTTCCTCCAGGAAAATGCGCTAAAAAGTCAGTTCCCGATTTCAGGTAATAGGTCTATCAGGGACTAGAACACATAATGTGAAAGAACATATTTTGTTAATTGTATCGGTTTATACCTAGTCATTCAGAAACGGTGGTCTCTGGTACAGTTTGGAAACGTGATGCGTGATTGTTTTTCTCATTTCGTGGGATAAAATGCCGACTTCATTGGAAACACCCTGCACAGTATACTGTAAGTTTTCTTTATCAACGATGTGATTTAACTCTTCTGGTGCTGCTTTTAGCTTACATGAAACTAACTACTAAGTAAAACGAATGATTTATAGATTCTGTTAATAAATGCCATAGTTTAAAAATTGTTAAACAAGGTACCTATTACAAATATTTATTTCTTTGAACCTAAATAGTAACTGTTCTAAATGCACCCTTCTATGTATTGTAAATGATTAATAAATGATGTTTAAAACTTTTAGCCTTTTATTTCAGATAATAAGTGTCAAAAGAGTTTTCCTTTCGAAAATCTTATACGATTCGTCGTATCTGGTTATATGATGATCGAAAATGCATGTCTGTCTGTTTGGCACAAAGTGTAATTTCATAAAGAAGATATTCACCCTAAATACTTCCTAATAAAAACATTTCCATAATTTTTTAACTACGAGTAACTACATTATTAACAAGCTCTTAGTTAGTTCATAATTTTGAGGTGTTTGTACGTGCGCCATCGAAGGGCTAAAAATTGAAGAATATGTATGCACAATAGATGGCATAGGCGGCTCTAAATAGTATATTAAGATACAAGTGTATAATCAAGTCTTTAAAGCACGTGCAACGAGTTTAAGGGTACGACGCAAAGCGGAGTGCCTTTAACGTTGCAAGTGCTTTAAAGACCAATTATACACGTGTATGTTATAGTATTTTTTATTATACCTGCAGTATAATTTAAAAATAGGAAATACAATGAAATCATATTGACGTTAAGCGCGGTTTAGACGCTACGATAAATTGTAACAATTTATCGTAACGATCGAATCGTTACGATTTATCGTTGCGTGTGAACAGAGGAATGTAGCGATTTATTGGAATTGGAATTGGATTGGATGGTTGATGGCGGTCGGCTTCAATTTCTGCGAATCGTAGCGATAAATTGGAACGTGTAAACAATATCAGCGATTTATCGCTACGATTTGTGACTAATTTGGCGACGTGAACCAGTTTTGTATCCATTTGGGCTACTTGGACTGTCTATAGCGCACACCTTTTACATTTGGCGAGTGGCGATCAAGTTTGGCCACCCAAAAAAAATATTTAGCGACACATGGCTTCTCAAATCATATTCGAGATTAAGATTCTATTGTAAGCAAGCAATATAAGCAATAAAATGCGAGTATAATTTATGTTAGTGGACAGAACCAAAAGACAAGATGAAAAGTAAAAAAATAAGAACTGTATTAAACCGTGATCGACAATGAGATTGGAACAAGAAATCGTTACATGTAAACAGTACGCACTTTTTCGATTTATTGAACGATAAATTGGACAATCAGATCGTTACGATTTATCGAAGCCAAGATCGTAGCGTCTAAACCGCGCTTTATACTCGAATACATGTCTAATTAAGTGGGCTGGGTGTTCGTAATTTTACGATTGCCATGGAAATGTCACTTGACGTTTGCTTGTAAAAATCATCGTCTTTGTGAATTAAACGATTTCCGTTGAAAAAGATAATAACACCGTCCATTAAATCGAATGTTGTAAAATCTAAACAAACGTTGGTAGGTGTAAAATCCAAATCGCGTAAAGCCTATTATAAAGAATATGAAAAGTTGTTTCCATGGATGGAGTAGGAAGTTACTTACGAATAAAGTCTTAAATGCATCCATAATGCTGGCATATATGAAGGAAATGTCAAAGGTATTTAAATCTTCTATATTTTGGTGCATTCATTAAAAACTTTAAAGCAATGCTGCGATTAAAAAGTGGAACAGATTTGGAAGCATACCCTAAATTACGCGCGTTTGTGAAAGCTTCAACCAAAGGATAGGTACAAAAGCCAAAGAAATGTTCTGCATTTACAGAAAGCGACCTAAGAGGATTTTTTATTTCATCCAGATGACAGTTTCAAAAGTCATACTTGAAGTATCGTTACTTAGCAACTTTAAAGCACGTGTGTTTAAAACGGAGATTGTGATTCAGGTATAATAAAAAATATCTTAGCAGTTTCCAAAATTTCTAACCAACGTGTACGCAAATATCTCGCAACAAAAGAATTGGTAATCCCATTATATTAAACCCATGTGCTTCCGACACTTTCACCACAAATAGGTATAGCTGTTTATATACTCCACAGCCACAGCTCTTTTTACATTGCACTCATAGTCCAGGAGGCAGTGACATGTTTTATGCACTCATTTCTATAAAGCTGATAGTTTGCCTTTTTATTGTTTTGATAGTACTTACAAGTAAACAAAACGGCAGTCTACCGCGTCGGCGCGGTGTTGCTTATATTTGCAACAATGTTCTGAACATGTTAATAAATAATATGTACATTCCTTATATCTACAAGAATGAAAATTTTTACAGTAATTAAGTATACCGAAAAATGCAGTATGGTAATAGTCTACCGAGCTGGAAGCGTTGCTATCACAAGTCTACCACTGACGCAACGTACGTAACAAATTATTCAATTGAACCATTGAGTAATTAAGTACCCTTCACTCAACGATTGAACTTATTTATACAAAGATGAAATGTTTGTTTCAAAAAGTTGACGTCATAAGACACAAAAAAAAATGGTCATCCGATCGCATGATGTTGCTAAGGGTCTCTGTAGACACGCTGGAAGGTACGATCTCCCAATCGCAGCTGCTGCACCGCTCTACTAAAAGTACCTCTCAATTACACGGGCATAAAACAAAAATCTGTTAAGCTGTTTCTTATATACCGGGTGAATATTTCAAAAACGAACCTAGGCAATTAACATGGGGAAAAGGTTTTTTGCAGATCGTTGCTCCTCATGCTTATAGAGGGTTTATAACGACACCAATCGAAGATTTTTGTCTCATTTAATGACATGCGAATTAGTTCATTTTCAGTTGTATTTCTCATTATTTTATCAAAAATTCGGCAATAAAGCCATCTAGGAAGATGCGGTTTTCGCGAGTTTGTTTAGGCATCATTTAGCTACTTTTTCATGAAAAAAAAATCAAACCAACGCATTTAATTTTTTTGAGAAAATTAACCATTTCTGTCGGAATGTCGAAAAAAGCCCTCAAGCGGCGATATGCGAAACTAACAAAACTTCAAATATTATAATATTTGTAGCCGAAGAATAACTTTTCAATTAATCCGAGTTTGTTAAAATCGGCTCAACTTCAAAGACCGGACATTTTTTTGTTAGGTTAATATAGCGGAATTCATAGAAAAATCACTTTTTTAGATTCCACATACGCCCCCAGCGGTCATTTCAAAAACTTAATAGTTATTTGTATACTTAGGCCGCGAAGTCATTCTTTAACGTACCGAAAAGAAGATTGACGCCGAGGCCGCTTGCGGCCGAGGCAAGGCAACTTTGAGGGCGTTAAAGAATGACGCGGCCGTGGTATACACAACATTTTTTGTGCAATTGCGTAGAATCGTCAATAAATAAAAATGAGATTTCAAAAATAATAATTTCCTTCGCAAATAGGAAGACGGCCAGTTTTCATTTTACCATGGAAATGAGATAAACAATGAATAATTTTTCGTGAAAGAAAAGTCAAAATGTGTGACTCCGAAAGTGATTCTTCGATATCCGGAACTCCTCCGGAAATAAAACTTGTTGTGAATTCTGCTGTGTTGCAGTTATGAGTTAGTACCTGAAAAATCGAAGCGGCAGTACGAAAAATGGTACAAGGACTTCAAGTGTACCTGTCAGTTTGAGTTCTAATGAAAATCAAAATGTTACAGTTTCAAAGTATAACGCTTCTAACACTTTAGACTTTATTTCAGGAGTAAGTATAAGTAACAATACGAACTGTAGGCTTAATATTAACATTTATCCAAAAGATTTGTAATTGCCTACATGCTGATTGTCAAAATATATGTGACATTGTCTTACTTTAACGGCCGTCGCTATGACAGCGGCCGCGAAAGTGAATTTCGCGGCCGCCATGGCGAACGCGAAGTTGTTGTTTCGCGTCCAATTGCACAAAAAAATATTTTCCAGGTTTTTTTCGTGGCCGTTTTAGTACGAAATTTTTTTTACCGCAGGCCTCTACGATGGACAGGTTCCCAGATACTGTACCTCTCATTCTTATTTCGCCACCCTGTACAATACCTACCACTGTTGAGTATATTGTGTGTATATGTCCACTATATGCACCTTTACGTCAAAGGTACTCGATCTTTAGTAACTTACCTGATAATCTAAGAAACAAAGATAACATAATGAATCTTCTACAGTACCTAAAGGCTGCGAATAGACGTGAGATGCTATAATATTAAACTAGATGGAGCCAAAGACCTCGGCAGTTAAATTAAATCAGTTGAACTAACCGTATAAAAAAGCTTTACGTGGGATTTTTTTACCTACCATATATTATATCCTGCATTCAACAATAATAAAGTTACGATCATGAAACATTTACTAACATCAATGGTATAGGTACATGAGAACAATATATAGTTATAGATAGGTATTGTTATTGCATTGCACAGCAGCAGCAGCAGAAGAGATTGGGAAACCTCTTCAATGATACAATAACTGAATGACACCAAAACGATATTATTTATACACGTGTCTGATATTTGATCTACTTAGAAACTAAATGTCCACATTTTTCGCATTTCTTATGTATTGCAGGTTCGGTAATCAGCATAGCACCTTGATGATCAACTGATCTGGATCTGCCGTGACGATTTAGTGGCGGTATCAAGAAATCATTGTCGGTTTTGGTAGAACCTAAGAGGACACACAATAATTTAAATAATTACAGAGCTAATATTACATTCATGATCATCATAATTTCCTTCATTTTCTTGAGAATCTTCCAGAAGTGGAGTAGTAGTAAGGTCAGAGGCTGTGGAAATTTCTTTATTACCTTCAATTCCATGAAAAAGGTCCAAACGAGAATCTAAAGAAAATTGTTTTCCGCTCATTAATATTCCACGGATCCGTCTACGCATTGCTAAAATGTAGCTTAACAATGTTTATGTTAATACAATCTGTACTCACATGGACTGTTATTCTGCGGGGAACTATATAGGTTACTAAATGTGGAGGAGTACTCCGCTAAAATATCATTTTGATCATACACCGCCGCAAAGCTGCCATTAACAATTTTGGGCGACATTGGTGAATTGGCAAGCAACAAACTTGTGCCAAAATTTTCATTCCTCTCCTTCGTGTCTACAATAATTTAATAATGCATTTATTTAATGTAGTAAAATGGATTTTTCGGTGCCACTGACTTGATCAATTCATGTCAATCATTCTCAATGACTGATAGTGCATCTAATAAATGAAGGGGTCAATGGAAAAAGTGCCTAAGTCACAAATTAATAAAAAAAATTTTAAGAAATATCAAAGCTTTATTTTCTGTTTATTCGTGGTCGTTGAAGCACCTTTTAATTAAGAATAAACTGGAACACACATTTTTATCATAGCATGTTTAGTAATATTTCATAATAAAAAATAAACTTTCAAACCTTAATATCTCATAATTACCTATTTGTGACTAAGGTACTTTTTGCATTGTCCCTTTCGAATATTTTAATTTCTGTTTACCAAGTGGCCATTTAAATAACCTACAACATCTGATTGATCGCCTAACAGAACTGTAACTTTTAACTATGCAAACTGAAACTAATGAAAAAGTAATAGTAAGTATCATCCGCAACAACTAAACAATAAAAATACATAAATATAATAATAGTAATAATAATAATAATAACAATAAAAATAATAACAAGGCACTCCTATAGTTTTCGAAAGATGCAAGTAGAATAATCATTTTCAGTAATACCTCATGTTTCGAACGCGCGCACTGAGCCCAACCCATGAAAAACCAAGCATGTAATACAATAAATAACAATAAAAATAATGACAATAAAATACAAAAGACCATACACGACAGTTTACACAACTACAAAGAACAGTTATTAGGTATTAATACGTGCTATATAGTTAGAAAATTGCTAAATATAACACAGGGTGCTACATACACAAATGCTCCACGCACCATATACACGTCAACAAAACTACTGCCTTACAATACAATACACAAATAGGTACTGTACAAACAGCACAGAGAAACACAACAGATTCAAGTAATTGAACATACACTGCATTGACAGATTCAGTCAATAAAATTGCACGTTATAGCACAAATAAAAAAACACAAAACTCCTTCTACTCAGAAACACGCCACATTATCACAACCCATTCGTATTTAACTCAAACGCAATAAACATTCCAAATTAATTAAATTGATAACCTTATAGGTAATGTTTATCTAAATCATAGAAAATAGGACTAGATCAACCTTGACAACACATACCGCCACAGACAGATACTAATCGTTACTTGATTTTAATCTGTACGATTAGCTAGGCCTGAGCTCTAACAAGAGACTATAATGATAATATCATAGTAACAATAATATAGTTCTATTGTGTTTTTATGGCTACAGCGGTCAAAGTTACTTTCCTATTCCTATTAAGAGGGGATTAAACATGAGTACAGCATTTAAACGTGGAAAAGATGGAATATATGTATAATATTACGTATAGTTCTAGTCTAGGTTCTAGTTATATTTATTATTCAAGATTGTTGCTAACATTAAGAATAATACTGGGATGAACAAACTGACACACGATATGGATTTCACCTAGAATGCGTATACAAACTGCAGTGGACAGTATTGCTAACTTTGCAATTTCTGCAGCTACGAAATTAATTGGGCCTCCGGTTGTCAAGATATTCAATAAAATAACCTTTTTTTAATCAAATGCTCTATATCTTTTACGTATTTTAAAAGGAAACGGAATTCTAAATAAAGGATCTAACCACCAGTAAATTGAAGTTATTAAAGGAACTACAATCAATTAAAAATTTTACGTTTGTTAAAAAGATTCCATTAAACCTATCATTATATGGCGACCGTGACATCCCGTATCATTACAATGGGGCCTGTACTTTAGGCATAAGAAGAAATAGGTGAAAATACCACAAACGTTTATACTTTATACCTATTTCTTTCTTTGTTTAAAGTACCTATTCACCGCCTTCTTTTTACCTTTGTAATAAGTTACAAACTTTAATTGATTGTGGTTCGTTTAACTTCAAAATATTTTGGTTAGGTATTAAACATTTTTTATTCAGAATTTCATTGTTTTCCAAAACATGTAGATAATACAGGGCTTTTCATTTATTGAATAACTTGAGTAACGGGAGAGAGTATAAGTTGAAAATTCAAATTTTTCGAATTTTTACACAGGAACCGCTTCATAAGAAAAGTGAACGTGACTAGGTTCGATAAATGCGACCCGCAGCTAAAAGTGTGTGGGCGATAGGACGGACGAGCTTGATCTCGAAATTTGCGTTCAACACGATTTATATTTTCTACTCGGCAGTCAGATAACAATAATGTTTACGATTAGAAAGAAGAAGAAACTTTAGCGCGGTTCGAATGCGGTCGAGATAAGTAAAAGTTTATTATACAGAAATTTTCCATACAACGAGTCATAAAAGTTCAATTGTATCATCCCAAAAACGATCCAGTTTTCAATTTTTCTTGGAGAGAGCCTTTTCAAGGGAAGGCCGTACTATTGGTAACATAAAGAAAAACACCGGTTCTAGTGATATCTGTAAGTTATTTTAATTTCTTTTTGAATTGTATAAAGTACTGGTCGGTTATTTTAACGAATTTGTTGGGCATGTTTATTTAACGTTAACCTTAAGAACCTTAACAAAATTAATTGCATGGAACAGATTTGTATTGCATTAAAATATAAGTGGATTCATAAAAGTGAATTTGGTTATTTTTAAGTAGCTGGGAACTTGTATTTTATTTAGGTGTTAATATTCCTTTGCGTGATATCAAATTTTGTTTAGTCGTAAGGTTTATTCTGCATAAAAAATTTAGATAAGGCAATTAGGACGAAACGTGGCTACTAGACAGGGGTTGCATTTTCTGTATTTATATAAAATAAATTAACATTTTAAATCAGAAAAAATGCAAAGGAGAATGGAATTAGATCGCCTTTAGTTTGCCAATAAATTCAGTGATTTGGAGTTCGTATTTATTCGTCTGCACTCAAACCAGAGCTCTGATTTTCAGAATTGAAAAGAAGGTAAAAGGCCAACCTTCCGCAGGTAAAGAGGGTATCTAAGTTTTGTTAGAGAGCTAGCCATGAGTAAAACTGATTGTGATTTTTACCAGGATCACTTTTATTTAATACGAACGAGGGTCTTCAACACTTATAATGTAACTAACCGTTACAACCTCGGTTACAACGTTATAACCTGATGCCCAACTATTTTATCTGATTGCAATCAAGAGAAAAAAACGCTTTATATTTCCCAATTTCACCAACTTTGTAACTGCCATCATAACTAAGTTATCAATAATGCCGATTTCACTTTGCACACGTTGTATAGCGAACCTAAAATGGACAAACTGTTGGCTACAGCAAAAGTAAAGCGGCTTAAAGGTCAGATTGGAACCATACACGACAGTATACCAAAATAACTTTGACTGACCAAAAAAGAACATAGGTTCAAGTTTTGAATTAACACATTGCGTAAAGTCTAATTAGCAACATTGTACAGGTATGACTTCCCAAGAATCGTAAACCAAGAAAAATAGCACCTCATCCTGTCTGTTATATACTAGTAGAACCAATGGATCAATGATATGAATGTTTCTTAATAGAGTGGTGTTAGTGCATTACTTATAGGGCGTTAATTTCAATAAAACCGCAATATTAAAGTTATTTATACAAATATATTACGATTGCCTATGTATAAATAATCTATTAAACTTATAGGTACGTAATTACACTAAATTCACAAGAAGGCCGCTTCCAAATCTCGACTAGTTTTATTATTAATAGCGAAGGGGGAAATAAGTTATACACAAATCACAAGGATTGATCAGGTAGGTTCTACTCGTAGTCACGCGATTTGACGGTATTCCGACTCCATCTGTAACCGACGTTCAATAAATGAATTACCTGCCAGTTTAACTCTGGTCTTATTCTTTTCATCCGCGACCTCCGATAGTACACTTTCAGATACTACTTTAATTTCTTTCCAATCTCTTACAATATCATCTACTGTAGTAAATTGTGACGTTACTGTAAATCTTATTACATATTTATCTTTAATAGCAGCCGGTACACAATGCAAATTTCCTCTCGAATTTAGCCTCTTTAACAACTTCTCCGTCAGATGGTTTTCTCCAACCAAACGAAAAACTACCAAACCCAAATGCCTTCGTGCCGCTATTTCAAACCGACAATCGGCCGATAGTAACGATTCAAATTTCTGAGCCAGACGTACGCCCTGGAATAATGTATTTGAGCACTACTAACCACCTCGCTCACAAACAACAGCCTTACTTCTCTTATATGATTTTGTAGCCCTTTGATACCGTAATTTCGAATTACAAACCATAATTTCAATGCCCTAAATCTTCTACTTAAGGGAATTTGCCAATGCTAGAACCCAACCAATTGCATGTGTACTTACACTACATATTACTGCGAACTTACCATGTAATCTATTGCAAGTCCTACAACAAGAAGTTTGTTACTTTTTTTAAAAATTATTAGATACCTACAACACCTTTACCTGAATTTTCGTGTTTTAAATAGAGTGGTTCAACGTTAAAGGTTCTGTGCAGGGCGGCACTGCTTTTAACCCTAAAAACAGCAGCTGATGCGGCAAAATACTTTAAACGGCCAACAATAATTACCACATGGCTGTACAATCGAAATGTACCATTAGCCATTTTGATGGATTGAATGCAATAGAGTTGGCGTTTTCGACACCTTTCAGCCAAATTCGAAACTCCGGACAAATGAATGCACTACCGGCATAAGCAGCGTCCACGTGCAGCCATATTTCTTCTTCAGCACATATTGCTCCTATTTCTTCCAGGTTGTCAAATGCACAAGCGCCGGTCGTCCCTAAAGTTGCGCACACCTGAAAAGCATAGTGTATTAAATAAATAAATGTAAAAACGAAAAATAAAGACAGAAATGCTAATATTAAGAAAAATCACTTCGCGTATATTCATTTATGAATAACATGTGACAACGTTTCCTGGATAGAATAACGCCCTTTTACAAAATTGATTAAACTTTCGTTGACTATTGACCGATTTTGAGTACCTATGCATGAGTAAGTATACATGTCAAAATAAATTTATTTTATGAATTGAAGTTTCCCAAAACCTAAATGAAGGGACAGAATACTTGGGTCGTACGAACAGGCCGACAGATCTAGTGATTCTAACATCGTTAAAGCCGCATAATGTCGCAACATGTAAGTAGTTGTAGTTTCAGTGTACCAGTTTTTACTCGTAGATAATAGTTGCATTTGATAGGCGAGCCGATTAAATAAACTAATACATTTGATCAGGGGCGGACTGGGTACTTATGGGCCAGGTAGAATTGCATAGGTTACGGGCCATTAAAGTATCAGTGTAGTAATGAAGGGTGCGGGGGGGGGGGGGGGGGGGGGGTGCTCTGCGGTGCACCACAAAAACATTTTTTTGCTTCATTTTAGTACTCCTTTTTCGGAAATCAATTACAATGCAGGTTTTTTTTAAATTGCAGCTGATAATTAAAAGTAACAAAATATACAATCCAAACGAGGCGCGTCATCTATCATTGTATTTTAGCACTTTCATACTACGACAAAAAATGATAAATTCATTGTAAAACACTACAATTAAAACAGAATTTTTTAATTTTTTAACAACCCAACATCAACCCAATTAGAGAAACGTGTTAATAATTTATTCATAGTGCAAGAAACTAAATACAGCACATACTTATAAATTTTCAACGGGCCATTATGACGTACAGGACAGGTGGCAATCGCCACCCGCCTCCCCGGGCCAGTCCGCCCCTCTTTCTAGTCCATAACTTTTGATTGAGACGTCGGATCGAAAAAGTACGAATTGTTTTGGATTCTACGCACCAAAATTAATAAAAAAATGTGTCTTCCTGAGAAATTTTGGTGCAGTCGATTTTTGGTAAAAAAGGAAGGTTATACACTGCCTTTTTTTGAGCCCCAAAAAAAAATTGTCTTAGATCGACCCGGAAAAAAAATTTCTTATAGAATGTGGCCTGTAGAATCCATAATTTCAAACAGTTCCAAGATTGGGCTACTAGTTCAAAAGTTACAGCTCTTTGAATTTTCTTTCGAAATTGGTTTCTAGTCCATAACTTTTGATTGAGAAGTCTGATCGAAAAAGTACGAATTGTTTTGGATTCTACGCACCAAAATTAATGAGCAAAAGTGTTTTCCCGAGAAATTTTGGTGCAGTCTTTTTTTGGTAAAAAAGGAAGGTTATACACTGCCTTTTTTTAAGCCCCGAAAAAAAAAATTGTCTCAGATCGACCCGGAAAAAAAATTGTCTTATAGAATGTGGCCTGTAGAATCCATAATTTCAAACAGTTCCAAGATTGGGCTACAAGTTCAGAAGTTACAGCCCTTTGAATTTTCATTCGAAATTGGTTTCTAGTTCATAACTTTGGATTGAGAAGTCTGATCGAAAAAGTACGAATTGTTTTGGATTCTACGCACCGAAATTAATAAGAAAAAGTGTTTTCCCGAGAAATTTTGGTGCAGTCGATTTTTGGTAAAAAAGGAAGGTTATACACTGCCTTTTTTTGAGCCCGAAAAAAAAAATTGTCTCAGATCGACCCAGAAAAAAGTTTTAGGGTAGCTCTGCGGTGCACCAAAAAAACATTTTTTGCTTCATTTTAAAGTACTCCTTTTTCGGAAATCAATTGCAATACAGGTTTTTTTTTAATTGCAGCTGATAATTAAAAGTAACAAAATATACAATCCAATCGAGGCGCGTCGCCTATCATTGTATTTCAGCACTTTCATGCTACGACAAAAAATGATAAATTCATTGTAAAACACTTCAATTAAAACAGAATTTTTAAATTTTTTAACAACCTAACATCAACCCCAATTAGAGAAACGTGTTAATAATTTATTAATAGTGCAAGAAACTAAATACAGCACATACTTATAAATTTCCAACGGGCCATTATGACGTACAGGCCAGGTGGAAATCGCCACCCGCCCCCCCGGGCCAGTCCGCCCCTGCATTTGATGATAAAAGTATTTTCAAAATTTTACGAAACACAGCTTTTGCGCTTGGTATTCCTCAAAATAAAGACATTCACAAAATACCGCAAATATTTAGGTAAACAGGAAATAAATATCAAGTAATCAATAATGATTCTATCGGTTTTACAATAGCCAGTTTTCTATATGCAATCAAAATCACTAAATTGAATTTAAATTGGTTACATTTTATTCTGATCATATTATATACATATACCTCAATACGACATACGCACATACATGCGAAACGCAATTCATTACAATATAAGACTGCTCTGAATCAGTATAGGTATTTGGTGCTTAAAAATATAACAATAAAGTAATACGGCGTCAAATGCAATTACTTGGAAGGAAAAATAAGTAAAATCTGTGTTCAACTGTCAACAATATTTCAATGTCACCACTTATTAATTGCTTCCAGTGGGATTTTATTGTGAAGGGACGCGATCTATTTAAGAAGATTGCTCCAATTAGTCATTTGTAGAAAGCTACCTACTTAATGATATTGCTTAATCTTTACTTCTCAGAAATACAATTGAAGTGTTCCATACAGCAATGGATAATCGGTTACACACACACACAAATGATAAATGAAGTATATACTTACCGGCACTAAGATGGATAAATATGTAGATGCCAACTATGGATTTAAGTAGAACCTTTTGCTTTCTATAAGTTACCATTTTCGATTCCAAATGCAAAGGCCAAACGACAGAAAAGCTATTCTCCTAAATTTGTGATCTAATGAGACCACAATTCAACAACGTGAAAACTGATTATAATTATAAACATTCGTGTTATGTTCGTCAAACTTTTCGCAAGCTTCGAAATGTTTTCGGTCGAAATGGTCGTCCAATCGAGCAAGCAATTCACCGAATTATCTTCCAGTTTGAGGACTGGTACGGTTGCTGATCGAATAATGTCCGTACGAAGTCGACATACTCGATCAACAGGAAATATTGCAGCTGGTCCGCTGCTGTTCAAGTAGATCGAAAACCTCTTTTTCTTTCGCAACAATATGACCTTTCTGTAACATCCTTTGGAGAAATTTTGCAAAAAGATTTAAGTCTGTATTCCTATAAGTTCTCCAAGAGCTGAAGCCACAAGATCTTAAACATCGTCTTACAATCGCAGAGTGGGTTCTTGAGAAGTTAGAAACGGATCCAAATTTTAACGATAAAATCATTTTCAGTAATGAAGCACATTGATGAACTTATTTACGAGTAGAATCGAATTTTCTATAAGATACAGTTGCTCCGGAACGTTCATTTTTAAATGTTAATGTTTTTTTTTAATGGAAAAACGCTTCAAACCCGAGCATTCTATGATGATTCCTTTGAGAGTTATACTTATAAAACCCGTGCAACCGACCGATCGACCGACCTACCGAACAGCCAAAGTGAATAATTATATACAGGGCGACACAACGAAAACGAAACAAACCGAATCACTCGTAAGGAAACGGTTTTTGGAAAAACGTAAAAACACCTCGATATTGGTTGGAAGCGGGACATATTTTACTTCAAAATCTACACCGCCGCTGTCAAACCCCTAAGCGCATATTATAGTTACATTTCGGAAATTATTCCATTTCTTACTTAGAAAAATTCCACAGTCCGTCGATTTGGAAGAATTATCGAGACAATTGTTACAAATGTTGTTTTAGGGTTTTACTATCTGTGAAAAAATTGAGAATGCTCTGAGAGTCAATCGGTTTGAAAGACCAAGCCTCGTTTTATTGATATGTTTATTTAATTAATCAATGACTATGAATCCTACGGTGATCGGGTTTGGTATATTATTTTGTTATCAAAAAGAGTGTCCAAATTTAGATTTTCAAAAACATCGGATGAATTTTACTTAGTAATAACCTCTGTAATTACAAATTAATAATCCCCGAATTAACGAGATATTCGAAGTCAAATGCGAAAAAAAACGACATTTTCCCATTTTTCCTTCGTTTTTTGTTTGTAACAATATGTCCCGGGAGTTTCCGACTTAGGGGGACTATATGATTTTCGGATTCAGTGGATTTTTTACATATAGAATACACCTGGTTTCGTATAGTGACAAAACATCCAGTTTAGACTACTTTTCTAGCTAATTTGACTGGACTATAATGGTAGATTAATGCTTTCATCCACAATCTGCAATGAACGTTTTGTGTAGAAAGCGTACCTATAGAACCTAAAATTTGTCCAGCTATGGTAGCATTTTTAATTAGTAGTTCCACAGAGTATAGGTTGTTTAATCTGTGGTAGTTCTTTTTGATTAAACATTCTTCAGTACATAAAGTCTCGGAACGGTCAGTTCTCAGCATCATTCTTTTACAAATTTGGTAAGTATGCGTGTACCTAATGTGTATACTGTATACTGTATGGAAGAAAGGATTTGTTGATTATTGACTATAATATGAATCTTTAGTACTTTCTATTTAATCGGTAATTGCAACTGTTTGAATGGAAGATCCAGTGTAAGAAATAAAAACCTATACAATACACAATATCAATAACGTAATAATACAGAAAAATAGAAAATAAAAACAACAACATCAAAACAAATTATATTGTTCAAATCCAAAGATCCAAAATGTTTCGTTTGAGAGCTACTCTTCCAACAAAAATTCCAATTCAAAAAAATTCAAAATTCACGTCTATTTGCATGTACTAATTTTTACTTTTGCGAGATACCTAACTGTTTTAAAAGAGTTTGATTTAGCATCAGGTCGATCGCTTTCTAAATAACGTTAATGAGCGAAATTGCATATTTTGGAAATAAGCACATTCTGTTATAGGTGGTTATTAAAAATCATGCATTACAGCTTACCCAAAATGGAATTAATCCTTTTTCTCTGTCTTTTTTAATTGTTTGTAGTAACGCTGGTCCTCTCATTGAGAGATTGTCATCAGTCTCTACATATCTCATTTTTACTAAACCGATAAGGGCGGCCTTTTCAATGCTAGAATGAGCTTGATCGGAGCAATAGCCGACTAATCGAGCATTTATTTCTACATCTTCCAAATCGGGATATATTTCTTGATACTTTTTAATTGCCTGGGTTCTTCCCGCCAATAGGCACACTAAAGTCGCCTCGCTTGATGTTGTCTAAATAATTGTGTATAAGCCGTAGACGTTGTGACGCTTTTTTATTATCGTACCTGAATTACGCCCCCTCCTAGGGAATCATTTCTAGTATGTAGGAAATCATCAGGTAAACCGATCATTTTTCCAAGCCAATTTAAGACTATTGTTTCTAACTCTGTACATGCAGGGCTTGATGCCTAAAAATTCACATCAAAATAGCTTCCACCAAACAAGTAATTTACCCATGTAAATCCAATGCAGTTGATCGCATCCGAGAGCATGTCGCCTAGCAAAGACGGGAAACAGTTTAAAGCCGGGAAATAAGCGTGCATATGTGGACTTTGCCAGTGTGTAACGCTCGGCATAATAATATTTTCTATGTCAGGGAATATATCTATCCATGGTTCTCCTTCTATTGGAGCACTCTCAGGTATTTGTAAACGTAGAAATCCCGGTACTCGATCAGGAAAAACCCTTCTACTACGTATATTTTTCAAGTAATCGGCTATATAATCAACCATTTCTTTACCTAAAACAGGCAAACCATCTAC